ACAATCTCGGTTTCCCAGAAAAGGTAACCAAAACTTAGCCAGTGGAGGGAGGCAGCTGTATCTACAAAAAGTTTTGTGTTGTGCTTTGTACCTAAAATCCCCCATGGAGCTCCTTTTCATTCCACACGGTCTCCCGGTCGAGAATGCCTCACTGCTACTGTACTGCCGGGTCCTGCCAATGCTTTATCACACGAAATAACGTCTGTGTAGAATACATCATCCGATCTGGCCAGGAAGTAATTACTGAGGCTGCACACTTCGGGATTATGCATGGTTAGAGCGCTTAAAAAGCCATGTCCACCATGTTTCTACAGTAAGTATAGCCTACCGATGATTTCGATTGATTTTTCTGTGGGACGTCATAACAGTGCAGAAAGGATTGAAATGGAAGACCATGTCTTTCGCTGAATAAAAATATTATGTGCGCCAAAATTCGTCGTTCGATCGAGGATTGAATACACGTATATTATTGATTGTAAAATTTTAAAAATCCTTAGCAGTAGCACAAAATCATTTGTTAGTTAGTGACTGTATATATTATTTATGTTCCTAAAATTCTTCATAAAAAGCTAATTATTTATCCTAAAACCCATCATAAAATTCCGAAAAGCAGAGGTAGGTTCATGCTTTTTTTTCTGAAAAATTACAGCCTTTAAAAGTAATTTTAACTTGAATATTATAGCAACATTTAATTCTACTTAGCGTGACTTCACTTTAAGCGGAGCCTTAAGTACACATAGAACACTAAAAAAAAGTGAGTGTGGGTACAATTAGGTCCGTCCTTTACTTTGCACATTCTATTTGGTGACCAACAGTGGCGAAGCTAGAGCTCCAAGCTAGGGCAAGACCAAGATATAAATTGATAAAAATATAGATTGTTGTTTTTAGCAGTTTTATAAAAATACACCAATCTTGATCTGTCTCCATGCTTCAGTTTCATATTCAGTGCTGTCAAGGACGTGTTTAACATAGCACACAGAAGGCATACCACTGCTAGATAGATTGTATTACATATCAGCAATTGCATAGCTTCAGTGGCTTTGAAGAAAGCCGTTTGGGTTTGTTTAAGCGAAATAAAAAAAATATTTACATCCAAAACAATACATGAACAAAAGTAAAACACGAGCAAAGTACAATGTACAAAATTAAAAAAAAAACCAAATTATTTACATTCTAATGGATAAGAGATAAGATAAGTGGAATCGTCTCGCTTTCTTATGGAAAGATTTAATTACGTCCATGTAAAATGTTGGTAAACATTTTAATTGTAACAATAACTGTTTTTAATTGCGATAATTGATAAGTCTGAAATACATATATTATCTCAACAAAGTTTAAAGATTTCCTCTTCGATTATCACTTTAACACACTTCATCACAAGGAACACTATTATCCTCTATTTTCATTAAAAATCTTTAAAAAAAGCATAAATTTTGAACTCCTAATATTAAATCGCTTAAGATAAGCACACAGAGTAAATAAACATTGAAACGTGAAATGAACTTGCAAACGTATTGCCCGCGCGCCTCCGCTTTTAACACATTTATTCCCAAAAGCCTGGCTTTAAATCTCTATACTAATTGCTATTGTTACGAGCTTGAGGTTCGTGACAATAAAAATTGACGATAGAATTACCTAAATTAACACTTTAATTCACTTTACACTAATTAAAGTTAAAAACACTAATAATTAATCACACTGATTCACTTTATTCCGCTCCGAATCTTCGCTTGTCTCGCCAAATTCAATACTTCACCGATCGCGTATTGCAGCGCCTTTATATAGGGCTCTTCCACGAAAACATCCAGAATATTTCGAGTAAATACGCGCAAGGTACCGAGAGTTCGAATTTCAACTTCAAGAAGTTGAGTTCTTCGGTTCGACACTAGATGGCGTTAGTGCCGTCGACTTTGGCGCGTAACACTGCCCCCTCCTAAGACATGCTCGTCCCGAGCATTATCGGACCCATAATAACGCGCCAAGCGATCCACATGGACGATCTTAGGAGTCCCCTTTGCGCCTTTCTGTAACGGTTCCGCAATGTCATGGGATGTCCTATCCGGTGGTGCACCAACATTGTACAATTTCGATGCTCCTCTACTCCGTGTCTGAGGTCCCCTCACAGCCGCACAACTTGTACATGTACGACACCAATCCTCGACATCGTCACGATAATGGACCCAGTAAAACTGTTCTCGAACCTTCAGTAAAGTTCGTTTAACTCCCAGATGGACTCTTGAACGACCATTATGGCACAGCTGTAAAACATTCGGCACTTTAGCTTTAGGGACAACCATTTGCAAACGAGAGCTGTCTCCTCGACCATTGTCCCATTTACGGCACAGGACTCCATCCTGAAGCAGCAAGCTGTCCCATTGGGCCCAAAAGCTTTTCGTGGTTGAACTCATCGCTGAGATGTCCCTCCACTTAGGCTTGGTAGCACGGGCCTTCATCCATCCCAGAATCGGCTTGATGTCCGGATCTTCCTGCTGTGCATGTCGTAGGCTGTCCTCCCACCCGTTGCTGAGGTGGTCTGTCCTGAGCATCCTCACGGATACCACTTCCTTACCTTGCCTACTACAATGGTTGCAATCTTCAGGACTAGGTCTTCTTGACAATGCATCTGCGTTGCCGTGAGATTTCCCGCTGCAGTGTCTGATAGTAAAGTCGTATTCCTGCCGCTGCTGGGCGGTGCTGTTAGCCGCACTTCCTTTCTGAGACCGTTCACCTTCCCTTCCTAGGGTGTGCTTAGGGCAGCTGGACCAAAGATGGCCCCTTTCCCCACAGCCATAGCACCTAGGGTTGTATCCTTTATTGTGGTCGCGAACCGTAACTGCTGCAACCTCCCTAGCGTGAGGTGAACGATGATCCTGTTGCCGCCAGGCAGTGCCGTTAGCTGCACTACCCTCCTGATATCGTTCACTTTCCCTTTCTGCGGTTCGCTTAGGGCAGCTGGATCGAAGGTGGCCCTTTTCCCCACAGCCATAGCACCTAGGGCTGTATCCTTTGTTGCGGTCGCGAACTGTAGCTGCTGCAACCTCCCTGACGCGATGGGAACGATGATCCTGCCGCATGGCTTCCACCTCCAGTGCATGGGCCAAGGCGTCCTTAAGCGTCTCGTGATGCCCGAGCCTCACAGCAGCTCTGACTTCAAGGTCGCGGATGCCGTCGATGAATGTCTGCACCAGGTTCCCTTCAATGAGCGCAGTACAGACTGGTATGCTTTTCGAACCATCTTCTCCACCTCAAGCGCCCACTGCTGCAGGTTTTCGTTGCTGCGTTGCACGCGATCTTTAAGCTGCGCGCGAAAGACGTGTTCCAGGTGAGCGTCGCCATATCTCGCCCCCAACGCCTCAAGGAGCTGCTCGTAGGTCACTTTCTTACCGAGAGCTTCCAACACAGTTAAGGCTTGGTCGCGCAGGCCTAGGGTGAGTGCAGTCATGGCTTGGCTTTTATTCCAGCCGTTCGCTTCCATGACGGCCTCGAACTGGATTTTGTAGGCCGACCAGGAAGAAGTCCCGTCGAACGGCGGCACTTTGAATCCACGTAGCGAAGGTGTTGTAGCTACTACGGGGGCTGTTGTTCCATCCCCAAGTTTGAGGTCGTCTAGCGTTTTCTTTACGTCAGCCATCACGTTATCAACCCGATTGTTCACTTGGTCGATTTGGGTTTTAACTTCCGACAGGCGGTTGTCATGTTGAGCAACCCTATCCTTCACCTCCCTTATCTCTTTCCCAAAGGTAGCATGAAGGTCCTTCATAAGGAGCATCTGCTCTTCCAACCGACGGGCCTGTTCCTCTTGACCGCCCCGCAGCTGCTCTTCCAAACGACGGACCTGTTCTTCCTGTCGGCGAACCTGTTCATCCTGTCCACCCCGCAGCTTCTCTTCCAACCGACGGACCTGTTCCTCCTGTCGGCGAGCCTGTTCCTGCAGATCACCATCAGAGCACCTAAGTCGGGTGCTGCAGATGTAGGAGCTACCGACGGGCCTGCAGCCGGTGGCTGGCCCTCCGACGTCTGCGGCGTTGCACCACCAAATCTTCGTTGGTCCGTCTCCTGCTGGCGTTGACTTCAGGTACGGACACCCTCCGTTTCCTCCTTAGGTAAAATCGGCATGATTTTATCCCACTTCTGACACCAATTGTTACGAGCTTGAGGTTCGTGACAATAAAAATTGCCGATAGAATTACCTAAATTAACACTTTAATTCACTTTACACTAATTAAAGTTAAAAACACTAATAATTAATCACACTGATTCACTTTATTCCGCTCCGAATCTTCGCTTGTCTCGCCAAATTCAATACTTCACCGATCGCGTATTGCAGCGCCTTTATATAGGGCTCTTCCACGAAAACATCCAGAATATTTCGAGTAAATACGCGCAAGGTACCGAGAGTTCGAATTTCGACTTCAAGAAGTTGAGTTCTTCGGTTCGACACTAGATGGCGCTAGTGCCGTCGACTTTGGCGCGTAACACTATATATACACTCGTAGTTATATTTCATTATAGAATATTTTGCCATAGGTTAGAAAGAGAGCGATCGTCTTCTCGAAAGCCCCGTAAAAAGCCCACGCGAGCGAGGGAGACAACTATTAGCTCTATTAAAACTCATTTTTTATGACAGCAGCAGTATCGCTAAGGCAATACGAGGTCATCGGTCGACATGTGTCGAACAGTGGAGTGCGCGGGAAATTTGAAATAGCTTGAAACATTTTAAGAGTTATTTTATTAGTTGATATTATTGATTGATTCAGGTTTAACTCTTTGGGGCATGGTGGTCGATTTTTTTACCACTTGGATCAAAATTTTATTTTATCGTCATCTAGCGTCAAACAGCAGAACTAGCTTCAGAAACACAAGGCGAGGTGTTATCCTTTGTTTTTATTCATAGTTATGTGCTCTAAGTGGCGCTCGCTAGCAGTATTCGTGAATCGTAAAGTGTGCAACAACTTTTTCTGTTTTGCTCTGTATTTAGTTACGGTTATTTTTTGAAAATCATGGTAAGTTTGATTGTACTTTACTATTTTCTATTAGTTTACTGTGTTTTTACTGTAGTAACAATAATTTTTATTGTAAGAAAGATTATTTTCCCGCACTTTCAGAAGCAATTACTCCGTGGATAGAATATTTACCAACGTGCAAGTAGTGCTATTTAAATTTAAATAACTTTATTGATTTTCTTTTTTGTTTCTTTTGATTTATTAGTTAATTTTATCATCTAAAATAATATTTTATGTTCGTTACAGAACTTAGAATGCGATGCGAATCTGATCATGTCAATCCTGGCAGATATACCTTCTGAAGGTTCCGGTATCTCTGAAGATGAAGATGAGGAGTCTCCTATTCAGATGCCCATAGTAGTTGCTGACGATGACGAAGATCCTGAATTTAACATGCCTCTGTCAGATATCCAGAGGTCAGCCAACCCATCTGATATAGTAGACGTACCAGCTCAAGAAGCAGTTTCGAACGAGGTTTCTAGTGGAGTCCAGTCACTATTGATGAAAACCAGTGTTCCTGGTAAGGTTTCATCCTCTCGACGGACGAGGGATTTAGTAGTTGAGCCTGCTGATACTTCATCTATTCGAAATCTAGACAATATAGCTGAACCTAAGTGGAGACATAGGGTACGTGCTGCATCTCCACCAGAACAATTTAATACAGATACAAGCTTACCTACTCACATATCTCAACTGCAGGATCCAACACCTGCTACATTATTTAAATTGTTTTGGCCTGACAGTTTGTTAGAGCATTTAGTTTATCAAACAAATTTGTATGCCCAACAGGAGGGAAAGACATTTGCACCAGTAACTAGAGAAGAAATGAGTACTTTTTTAGGTATAAACCTAAACATGGGTATTAAGAAACTGCCCGCCTATAGAGACTACTGGTCCTCATGTCCTGATCTACATGATCCGTTTATTTCAAAGTTTATGCCTGTAAACCGATTTGGATGGTTACTCTCACATTTGCACGTAAATGATAATCAGTTTATTCCAGCAAGAAATAGCCCAAGTTATGACAAACTATATAGAGTTCGGCCTTTGCTAGATACATTAAAAAACACATTTGAGAAAAATTATCGTCCTACCGAAAACATGGCTATAGATGAAAGCATGATAAAATTTAAAGGCAGAAGTTACCTCAAGCAGTACATGCCAAAGAAACCTGTAAAGCGGGGATATAAGGTGTGGATGTTGTGTGCGAGTTCAGGATATTGTCTAAAATTTGACGTTTATACCGGAATGGCTGAAAAAGTTGAAAAGAATTTGGGCGCTAGAGTGGTGTTAGATTTCACACAAGATTTACAAAGTAAAAACTACAAGTTTTACTTCGACAACTATTTTAATAGTTATGTGTTACAACATGAACTTAAGTTGAGAAAAATAATGGCCTGTTTCACAGTAAACAATACAAAAAAGTTTTTACCGGAATTGAAAGAAGAGAATATATTATATTTGAAGTGGAAGGATAATAGGACAGTATATTTCTTATCAATTATGCATGATCCAAATGATGTTGATATAGCCCAAAGAAGAAAAAAGGACGGCTCTTTTATAGACATACCTTGTCCTAAACTGCTGAAGGACTACAATTCAAATATGAATTTTGTGGATAAGTTTGACCAACTAAAAGGAAATTATGGTTTAGATAGGCGGTCTACTAAGTGGTGGCACAGAATTTTCTTTTCATTTTTGGACTATTGCGTCGTCAATGTTTACATTGTGCATAAAGATCTGGTTGCATATAGAAATTTTGCAGAAAATACAACATCAAAAATTATGACCCACAAAGACTTCAGGAGAGAAATATATCTGGAACTTATGAAAGAGCCTGAAACCAGAAAACGAATATCAGAAGACCGTCTTCCTATTACAATTAAACAGCATAAACCTTATGTACCACACTTGGTACGCCTAGAAGGTAAAAAACATCAAGCAAGGTCCACTACTTCCCGTCGATGCGCTTTGTGCAGCACAAAAGCAAAACCTGTAAGAACAGCTTGGGAATGTGACACTTGTATGGTTCCATTATGCATAAAATCAACCAAAAATTGTTTTGCTAAATTTCATAAGAATAAATAGAGAGATTAAAATAAAATTGGCGTCTAAATTACTATTTGTTGTTTTTTTTTTAAATCTAATAACTTGCATGGTGGTAAGCACAGCGACCACCGTTTTCCTCAAAAGCCTTCGTAGCTAGATTTTTTATTTTATTTTTCTGATGATTTATGTGTCCACAGTAAGCTATATTTACAAAAAAAAATATTTTAAAAAAAAAGTAGAACCTGTGCATCTAAGAGTTAATAAGGCAAGCCCAGCTTTTCGGCTTTAATGGAAGCTTCGCCACTGGTGGCCAATTCTAAATGGGTTCAAAGTCGATACTAGCAATTTTATATTCGAGACGAAAAAATTCACGTAACCTTAACAAAATGCATTTTTTTTAATAACATCCCCAAGGCTAAACTGGAAGACTGGAAGTGATATAACACGCCAATTTTTTGGCGATGTTAACCTCTCAAACTGCAAGCGTCCAAATTTGACCGCTTTGATATTCCGTCAAAATTCAAGAGGTCAAATGTGACCTCACCCACCCACAGCACTTTAACCTACTCGTATAAATACTTATGTTTAGAGACTACTTAGAAAACTTATAGAATCAATATGAAATTCTCTATCTTCTTCTTAACCGCCTAGTTGGTGTAGTTGTTGTACTAGTGCGACTGCTGATAAGGATTTGAACGGACCTCCCAGGGTTCAATTCCTAGGTCGGGCCAAAAAATCAATTATTGAGTTTTCCGTCAAGAAATTCTCAGTAGCTGCCTGGAGTTAGGAAGTTGGCGGTGTCTCACTCCCGTTCCTCCGAAAGCACGTAAAGCCGTTGGTCCTGCGGCTGATCTCTCTCCGATCGTGTCTGTTTAACTTCCCATCGGGTGCTTGCGCATATACTTGGGCACTATAATTCTGACCTGCGCCGACGGCTAGTTTCCGTTGAGGTAGGCCGCCGTGACCGAAATTCGATCGGGAGGTTGTTTCTCTATCCTCTAGTGGAATTAAAAAGTCAGTGAGTCTATGGATATTTATTTATAATCTACGTTCATTTCATACGCCATTTTCGCGTGAATGTTGTGTTGATTTTTCTAGTGTTTTATTAGTTTTTTAGTATAGTGTTTTATTATAAAATTGTAATGAAAGTTTTTGTGTGAATATAATTTATCTTTTTACGTAAATAATTTCGAGTAATATATATTGAAATAATTGTGATTTTCACACTGCGGACATTCGCTTGGTATGTTTTTTTTTTTGTTATCAAAATACAATAAAATCTTCTTGCAATGAAGCAAAAGCTGACTTTTGTTTAGACCACAGGATAGAGAATTTTGTATAGATTTTATTATGTCAAACTTCTTCATAGAAAAGTAGTCTCTATATATAATTTTTAATTGTTTTAAGTGCTGGAGCGCTCGGGATTTGCCGAGTGCATGCGACTGCATGGAGTTTTTATGAGAATTGAAGAGTTAAACCTCGAAAACGGACAGCTGTACACATCGCTTTTGGTGCCACACGCACGTGTGAGTAACGAACTAAGAGCAAGTTTCATCCAACACTATTCTGATGATATTACGGTCGTCAGTATTGAGTGAAATTAGAATGACGCTCCAGCATCTTAAAAACTACAAGGCCTTAGGCGACCATTGAATCATAGCAAAGCGTCTACTAAAAGGAAACAGAAAACCGGTACTGAAAGTCATTCAGAAGCGCTTTAATTCCATCCTATGTAGTTCTCCAACTATAGAAACGTGGAGCAGAAGTGGGAGTCGTTTTATTCAAACGACTACGCTCCACTTCAGAACACACCGTACAGACCAATTTCCCTTTTGAGCCGCGTCTACATACTGTTCTCGAGAGTTTACGAATAAATAATCTCACACAGTCTTGATGACTTCCAGCCTGTCATGTCATTATTTCAGATTCGCTGGAGGTCCTCAGCGCTATGCTCAATGACCTCAATAGCATTTAACAGCAACATAAATATCTGTTCTAATCTTGATGATGAGAATGAAGTGATTTCTGTTTATGAAGTTTTGACCATAACAATACAATATTCCTATTAAATATTATATACTATTACTACTTTTATTAACTGTTGTATACTTAGGACATTATATATTTGATATAAAATGTCCAAAGCAATAATATCAGCGTCATGGTGACTACCCCAGTTTAGTACTTTTCGAATTTCTCAATATTAGCATTAGTTCATTCAAGTTACCTTGCGCCAATTGTGCGCGTCAAAAAAATAGTAGGTGCCGCGCTCGTAAGTGGACGTTTTTTCCACCATAGGCATGCCGGGCGCTTGCGAGATCCACACCTTCTCCTCCATATGATACCGCCATTCGCGGTTATATCTGAAAAAAGATAACGGCCTACTATTTAGTGTTCTAATTGAAAATTAAAAAGCAAGCAATTATAATTTTAGTGGGTGGTTAAAATTATAGAGCGATGATCATGGCAACTACATGCAATTAATATTATAAGAAAATAACAAGTGACGGGAGTAGTAGTGCTGGGACTAGTGGTGACGGAATTAGTGCACGCAATAGAGGGAGGACGGGAGATGCTCTTCAATCCAGGTAAGACACATCATTGTATTTAGTTAGCGGAAGGTTGCATATTAATAAATATCTTTATTTTAATGGATATCCACAATGTAACGCCTGATTCTATCAATTAACACCAATGATTATATAAATAATATAATATAAATGCAACTAGTATGCGCGCGATAAAACGCAATCATTCATGCTAAGATAATATGCTAATGCGATAAGATCTGAGGTAAGCTTGACATGAAGGTAGTTATAAAACATCCAAAATAATAATTATTTAATTTCAAAACAATAATTAATACTCTTCAGGTCTTCAGCTGTATTACGATAGCAGCATGAATACGTCCACTTTACTTGAAGAGTCCACCAGTCTCAAAAAATATTTGCATGAAATAGCAGCATTATGCTGTTACTGTTAATAGACATTTTATTTTATTTCTCAGGATATCTACAAGGTGTTAGTGTAAACAGCGTTATCCTGGAAACCAGTGATTTGGTTTCACTTATAGAACATAAATTCAATGAAAAATAACATTTTTTTTAATTTATGAATCAATTTTTCCTTAATTCCTTAATTTTTGCCTGTCCTAAGCCAGGATGAAAGTATGAAGGAAAAGTTACATCACAGGTTATGTGTACCTATTGTGTTTTTATTGGAATGTTGTGTAGGTAGCTAGCGCGAGCGGTGATCTTTACAGTGATTACGTCACTCGGGCGCATAGGGTATCCACAAATTTACAGACGGCGTCGGACAGAAACTTTTTAAATTTTATGAAAGAAAATAGCGTTCTTTTTAAAATTCAGATAAATATTTTTATATTAAAACCAACTACCTATGGTTTTAGTGACAACGGTGTTTACACTTACACCTTGTATATCTATACAAGGTATCTGCATTTTGGTTCATACCAAAACATCAACTTACCATCAGATGGGTTTTGTGCTCTTTCAAATCACCCTTGTTTACATGTAAATATTAACACTCTTTTTTGAAAGAAGGAAGGCATCGAACTTCATAAAAAATCGTACTTTTTGAAGGATTAATGTTAAAAGCTAGACTGACTACTCACAATTCGGCTGCTGCTGCAATTTGTAGCACGTCGCCCACGAAGCAGTAAAATAAATAGAATAATAGATCTTCCTTATATCGACTCAGTCGTAAGGGCGCCAATTTTTCCCTAATAGCTCCATTTATCAGATACTCGGGAGGCACGTGATAGTCCATGTCTTGTGGCCTGTAACATTATGTTATACTTTAAGTCGTAAATCTTGAATCATTATAACGTACTAAAAATTTTTGTCAACACTGAATACTGAATAATAATACTTGGCTTCTGCTGCCAACAATGAAGAAGAAACATAGAATGAATATGGTAATTAGTGTTGCCAGGTGTCCCGATTTGCGCGGGACGTCCCGATTTTCAAGGGTTTGGTGACACGTCCCGATTCACCCTTGATCGGGATGTCAAATGTCCCGATTTTCACCAACCTTCTTATTCTATACTTTAATCCATAATTTTGACAGCAAAAATGATTATATCTGTTATCTACTACTACATTAAAATATTTTTACTACATTTTCTCACCAGTAGAAAAAAAAACACAAAAGTTTTAAACAGAATTACATTAAAATGAGTGATTCGAAAAATTCAGACTGTAAAAAAACAAATAGTTCAAAAAATGTTTTGATTTGCCTAAAACGAAAAAACATAGACGAAGAATATGAGTTTACGATGGATGAAAAGTTATTCGTTCATGAGATCAGATCCGAATAATAATTATAAAGCACAAAAAGGCTACAAAACAACCTATATTTTGTAGCCATTGTAGCTGCCCCGATGTGAAAACCAAATTCCCGATTATTTTTACCTTCCGTCCCGAAATTTTATTTGCTAGACCTGGCAACACTTATTTTAGATTAATAAATATTGTGTAAACTGTTTGTTGATCCTAATAAATTAAAAAAAAACTAATTGTAATCTGTATATAAACTTCTTTAAAACCTTAGGGTGTATCACAACTCCTATCCCTAAGGATAGTATAAATATAAAGTTAATCGTGGGATTAACCTAGAGATGAAAATTGATTAGTTATTTGAAGGCATTTTTTCCGATGCCACATTGGAATTGAAATTTCTCTCCTGTAAAATTATACAAATTCCGAAGAGAATAGTAATAATAATAGAATGGGAATAAGTAGGAGCAAAGCCTGACAATTACAATGAATCACGTAGTTTCCAACCGAAACTTCTATAATTTTGAGACAGCAGTGTGTAGATAACCATTGTCGTGAAAAATAGTGAACTAGAGCATTCATAGTAAATATCATGTGGTGTTGACAGTATAACTCGGCAATAATTGTTGTGCCACATTTCAAGAAGCTGTAATGAATAATACTGGCTATAGCTTTGGTCTCTTGATCGTAACGCACAACGCTGCGGTATGCGGCTGCTGTGCCAGACACATAAGTGTATGAAAAACGTGTAGAATGGTCTCTTGTTCCGTCCCAGTATGCGTCAGCGGCGAAGGGCAAGCGCGGTGAAGTGGGGAGCGGGTATTCCGCACTGCGCGGCGTTGTTCTCGTTGCGACGCTACGGTGTACGTCATGGTTTGATAATGGATTTGTTTGAAGATAATTTAATTATATTAATCCGCAATTATCCCTCATTATATAAAAATAAAGACAAACTTTCTTCCTCCTTCTCAAACAAAGCAGAAATTTCAAAACTATTGTTCATGTTGACACGTCTGCTTTGGACCACTTTTCCGCAGAGATGCTAAACGCTGCGTCATGACGCTGCGTTTGAGCCGCATACCGCAGCGTTGTGCGTTACGATCAAGAGACCAAAGCTTTTGGAGCATAGCCTATGGTCATCATTACTGAACTGCTTACTTTACTATAGTTTGTAGCAGACTGCAAAAGGAGAATATTCTCTATCAGACTGCTTATCGTTTTTTTTTGTATGTATGTTTAAGCGGTAGCTTCGCCAGTTGTGGACCGATTTTAATAATAATTTTTTACTAAATAAGCTTTAACTCAGGAGTGCCTCATTTAAATTTGGAACAAAAATTCATCCATAAGAGAGGAAAACTACTGTCATTTTTATATTTCAGTTTTAATCCAGGTGGACTAAAAAGAATTTCTAAATGTTTGACAGATTCATAACTAGATATTATATGTGGTAGAGCCACGCTACAGCTATATTATGGTTGTAGAACGAATGGCTCGATTCGACCAGGGTAGGACTACACTCTCACAGAATACTTGTATAAAATAGCAGCTTTATATTGATGTGTTTCGTATGGTGAGTGTAGAGAACCGGAGACCCATTTTATCGGAATCGAGACATTCCATCTTAGCCCTCAGGGATAGCAGCGCATTTACATTTTGATTCTTAATCGAGTTCAAATTTAGATGTCTATTGGACACAGTATCCACTTACCACCAGGTGGACTGTGTGCTCTTTTGTCACCCTTATTCTATAGAAAAGAACAGAACTTTTATAGTTTAATCGCAATTTAAAAAAAAATTAAATAATAAGAGAATTTACTTCTTTTCTGCTGCTATAAATTCGTTGTTGCTTTGGATAATATTTTTTTACCAATACCATATTTGATCATTGTGTACCAATCCCACACCACGACTTTTTAATTAATACAGCTAAAAATCTGGACGCAATCTAAAAACTTTTTGAATACTTCCGATAAAATAGATTAGGAACTACAAATATAAAATAGTAGTCCACAACAGCGCCACCTACCGGTTCCAAATGTAAATCTAAATCATCATTCAAACACACAAAGAATTTCATTAAAATCGGTCGAGCCTTTTTTAAATTTGAACAAGACTAACGGACAGCAATAGATTTTTATTTAAACAGTTATCTCTATAAATAAAAATTTATTCGCTCTAAATATAAATAATATAATCTCTTTAAATATAAATAATTCTGACCAATTTCTGTGGCATTACTTCACACTAGGGATGTAACGATTCCGATACCGATACCGATATAATCTACAGACCGATATATCGGCATCGCCGATCATATACAACCGAGAGAGAGATCAAGAGCTTGAAAAGCGTACGAAATGAACAACGTTAGCGTGCCATTCTTGCTCAGCTCAGTTGCCTCAGTGTATGTTTTCAACTGCAGTCTCTTTCAAAATGATTTGCGTAACACATTATCTGCTAATAATTTAAACAAACTTTATATTAATAAATAAATGTTTTCTTTGAATTTTAAATTTTTCATTGAAATTTTGATTTGACCTTTTGGTCTTCAACCCTCCCAAGGCTCAGTCTCCGATAAATATATGTACCTGTTATGCAGAATAAAGAAAATTATTCATTATTTATTTGTTTTTAAGCTATTGCATAGCTTCTATCGCGGCCCTTGAGCGCGGGGACCGAATCAAGAAATTCCGTAACGAAAAAAAACCTCACGCTCCCCACTCCAACGGGCACGGAGGTGTGGCTTGAAGGCCGTGCATTGTCTAACGTCGTTTCTTTTCGGCAGTCTTCGACACGGTGTTTGTGTGCATGCAACTAGACGTATTGTACGACTCTACGAAGCTCGCACGAATCGAGACGAGCTGCTCCGAAATCGGACGAATACATAAGCAGCTGTTTATGAGAAAGTATATAGGTGTATAGGTATTTATGTACAACAGTGAATAGCTGTACTTGTAAAAATTGTGTATAAAGTGTTTTGAATATGAATGAACAAAGTGCATTTATTATTAATGAAGAGTCACGAAAAAATAGTGAAAGAAAATGAGTGAGTACTCTATATACATACATTTTATTATTATCACAAATGCAGTATTAATTTTGAATTGAAAATTTAATACTGCTATAAAGATAACCTAAATTTTTGATATTAAATGAGCGATATTAAAAGTAGCCCCCTTTTATACACACAAACACACACACGCGTATAGTTTAAATTCTCAATTTAGATTCTCAATATGTATATATATAAAAATAAATTCATTCTTCAGTATGTATATAACAGAAGCCATCGAACCAAGCACGTGTACTATTCAGTACCTTTGTTTTTGGCGTATAGATAATGCACATGAATGCCACGCAGAGCAAGTATATATGATATTATATCTATATAAATGTAAATCGCGCGAAATTCGATAATCACTTCTTAATATCGTTATTTTTTTTAAATGAATAATTTTGTTTTGGTGTGTCATTACACTATTTATACCTAATTATTTATACCTAGATATTTTCGTTTTATAGAGAAGAAAAGCGTAAAGAGCTAAAAAGAAAAAAAAATATTTTAAACAATATTAACATTTTATTTATTTAATAAAAGAAAAAAATTTGTTTTCTTATCGGTCACCACGCTCAAAAAGTGTAACTTGAATTAATATCAAAGAAAAAGAAATACTGCATATAAAATAAATTAAAAATAATTATAATTGCATAAGTTGATACAAAATGCTATGCAATAGCTTTACCGCGGCAGTCCCCGAGTGCCACACGTCTTTTTTTTTCTATTTCTACTCAGTCACCGATAAAGGTCTCGGTATCAATATCGCCGATTATTTACTACAATAATCGGTATCGGTATCGTATAGGCACAATTATGTATTGTTACATCCCTACTTCACACCCTAAAATAAATTTCTGATATTACGGTATAGGCGTCAGAGCTAAGTACTCCTTACAAAATATAAATGGCAGCTTAGACAATACTCATTTGGTAAAAAAAGATAATGGGGAAAAACAATAAATGAATAATTTACCTGCAGGGCGTATCCGCCCAAGGTCCAGCAAAGGTAAGGTAAAGGTTGTCAGGTGAGTTTAAATTCAATCCAAGGGCAGTCAAGTCCTGACCTAATGCTAATGATACCAGACTTGGGTCGGACTCTGCCGCGCGAATAAACGTTAACAGTCCCACAATACCAAACTGGTTTGGTATCATTGTCTCCGGTATATTCGTCACTTTGCCTAAAAATCAACAATAACCGTACCTCATTAAGTGTTAACTAACCATTTTCGCGGTTAATATGTTACCCCCGCTTTTATACTATGCATAATTTTATTATCTGCAGTATAACATATTAACCTGCTTAATATCACTGATTCCCAAACTTTTATAATACACACCGTAGGTTTCCGTATGCGCTCCTTGACTGACAACTTTAAGGACAAAAAAAACCCATGTCAGATATTTATTGGTATTTATTTTATGGTAACTACAGTTGTTCAAATTTGCCTACAGACATCTAATTAAAATAAGGAGCATGCATAAGTCATTCCACCCATCTTTTTCCATGAAGTCAATGAAATTTAACCAATAGAATTTATAACATGTACATTTGGAATAAGCAGTAAACTACTTAACTTTTAAATAATTTTAAAACAAGAACTCTAAAAGCAGTTTAGTTATATTACAAAACGATATAACTTGAGGTATTTTACTTAAAATATGTTTTATATTAATATTGAGATTAAAAGGTCATATTCATCTGATACAATATGAGGGACTTAAGTAAGAATTAAGATCAGCAACACAAGATAAAAATGTAATCAAGGACAAGTTCAGGAGTTTAAAACATTTTTCAAAGATATTTTTTATTAATAAGAAAAATATAATATTTACAAATTTAAAACTACGACTAGACTGTATAAAAATAACTAGTAAAAAGAGTCCAAACCAGTTGTGTTTATCACATTTTTCTTTCTATCGAATTTCACTTATGGTCTCAAACAATAAATTTATAAACTAAATGAAATACGAAAAAGAAAACAATACTTTAAATGCAAATTAAAAAGTAATGAGCTTGAATTCACGAAAATTTACAGTCCATCTGGTATCCACTTCCAAACTGACTACAGTAAAAGTTGGCAGTCTACATTCTTTATTTAACCTTCTGGTTTTACCTCAAACTAATCCTGAAATATTTCAATCAGATAAATAGACCCGGTACTACAGTATTCATTTTGCATAGTAGTAAAGACCTTAGAGCAGAAAAGGGTATTAAAGGACGAATAATAATCTAGACAGCAACTAGAGAGTACATACCATCTGGCGAGGTCTGTATCCCTTTCCGTGGCTTAGCGTCATTGTGGTTTGCATATTCTAGTGTCTGAGGCGCATGCGCAGGGTGAGTGGCTTGCGTTGAATGCGCCGCGACGTGCGCAGTGGCATTCGCGACTGCTGCGCCGCCCGTACTCGTGCCCGGTAACGCGGGGAAGTCTTCCGATGACATCGTGAACTCAGATTGCTCCGATGTTGGCTGCTTAACCATACCCACTGGAATTTTATATAATATATATAATATAATATTATTATAGTATTTATATGAGTTTGTTCACCTACTCGGAATAGTGATTACAACAAGTAGTGGTAGTGTAAGAATACCTACTACCGCATATTGTCCCGTTAGTGTGATAAGAGGCGACAGAGGGAAACAAATCAGGAGCTGGGCAGCAGCGTCTTTCAAATATCGACTAAAACTATAAAACTGCGTTTGCCAACCCGCTTGCCAATCGTGGCAACTATGGCAAATATCCCCCCTATGAAGCAATGTACGAACTATGGGCCTATGTTCAACAGTGGATTTTAATAGGCTGTAAAGGTTCTGAAACTGTTCACCGGAAAGTGTCATAATGGATTTCAATAAACACCATTTTCACATATGAATTTTTTTTAATTTCAAAGCTGGTGCTTCTCATGTGTTCCAATATAAATTTGATCAAGATCTGATCAGAAGTTATGTGTTATCCTTAATAATGCGCATTTAATTGACTTCGACCACATTGATGATGTTCTCATTTTACTTATAATGAAGTCGGTTGTACAAAATTTTACCACTTGTGTTATTTGATTTTTGTGAAAGACAGAATATACTACCCGTGCTAAAAAAGAAGGGGATTGAAAATGGCGTCGTCTATATTCACCATTCACTCGCACACTGTTGCTATCTAAACCCACACCCACCAGTGCAAAAAAATACATTGAAATATGCGTTTTTCGGTACGTTCTATAACTACAGTCCAACTTGTCATTGGAATCAATGATAACAAATTCCTATAACTACAAAAAAAATTAAATCCGTTTTTGCTGATTTGTGAGCGCGTTCCGACTTTTTATCAAAATTATTGTTGATTTTGTTAATTACTATTTTTGTATAAAATATTTACATGTCATTGAGACATGAGTAACCATTTAAAAAAAATCGTTTGTATGTCTGTAATTGTAACAAAGCTTTACGAACAAATAGAGAATAATAATTCAGAGAATTTATTAAAATAGAAATATTTATAAGATAAAATAAATAGTCATTAATGATTATCTTAAGTCTAAATAAGAAGCCAGAGCAGGTCGCTAGTTATAAATGTTATTTTAAAAATAATATAATAACAACTTGATTATAATTACAATACAATTCTTTTGAAATATTTTCCTAGTAACAGAAAATTTTCAATTGATTGAATAATACAACGTTATAAGAATGTACTGTTGTTAACAGCGGGTTTTCACTTGTACGACGGACTATACTCTATTTTGTTTATAAAGGACACTAATATACAAATAGAGGTAGAACAAAATAAAATAGGTATATATATATATTTATTTATTTCCCACTATACAATTATCTTTACAGGTTTATCACCTAATCCTAATGCGATAATGTAGACAACTATTTTTACCAACTCCAACTACACCGTTACAAGCTAATAATTTTCGATTATAAATATGTACTTATTGCCATTTCAAACACCGTATCCATATACACAGTACGACCATAACTAATTTCAAATAGAGCAATTACTATAAACCCACCCAGAGTTCAATAAAATATATCTGTCTTCTGCTATATGGTTGAAGATACGGAGGGCGCGCGTAAACGGCGCTTCAGTCATCATATCTATATATAGAGGTAATATATTATGTGAATATTAAGAATTGGTATGTGCATGTATGTATAATATTAAAACACTTACCGTACGGTTTAGAGCCAGGCGGCGGCGGCGCTGCGGCAGGTGCTTGGTCACCAGCGCCTCTTGCCGTTAGCGAAGGGAATTCACTCAGGTCCAGTAAAGGAGGTGTCGATGTGTCGCCCCCCTCTCCGAACACAGAATGGTAATTACTACTGGCATTAAACCTTGACAGATTCGCCATACTTGACTGCAGAAGAGAAAAAATGAAATTAATGAGAACCTCAGTTTTCAACTATTAATTTTGACCTTTTAGTCATTTCAAGAACTATGCTAAAAAACTTGTTGTTATGGTTATTAACAATGACTTTATTAGATGGTAAATGATCCTTCCCCCTCCCCTCCCCCAAAAACCACCACTATACAAAATCTAATATTTTTTTTGTATATTACACTATTCTCTCTTGAATATCTATTAATCTCTTATAATACCCCAAAAAATATAAATAGTAATAAATTAAAACTAATGCAAATGAATCACATATGCTTGAAACTTGAGATACAAATAGCCAGTAGCTGGTAATGTGTAGTGCCATCTAGGTAACATTTTCTGGCTTGAATGCACAAGTTCCAGTCACATTCAGCTTGTGTACATAATCATGAACAAATTAATTTAAAAAAAATGTTTTTTTGATTAGTTCTACGATAAAGAACAAAATCCCATGCAAGTCAGAAAAGAAAATTGTTCACGCTTGCATCATATTCTATAAATATGGTGGTTGTCACAAGTGTTATACAGGACGTATCAGGACTATGGCCCGCGCATCGTTCGTCGCACGCGGCGCGAGCTTTACAATCCGGCTTTTATACCAGTGCTGAGAGACGTGGCACTGTGTAAGCCATCATGTAGCTCATACCAACTGCTGCCGTGGGTGAAATAAGTCTTAATCCCTAAGCTACAATAGTTCTTTAAAAGTATATCTACATCATAATCATCATCGTAATCATTACAGCACACTTATGCTTTAGGCCTCCTCTTTTTTCTTTCTTAAAAGGAATTCCACATGGCATGGTCCTGAGCCATTTCCATCGACTTACTGCATCTCTTACCCGGTTAACATCCGAGACAGCCCCATCTTATGGTACGAGATCGAGAGACTGCCTCATATCCATGCACTGTTATTTTCAAGTTTCAAGCATATGTGACAGGAAGATATTTGTGGTTGAGCTATAAAGTAAAGTTACAGCCTATATACGTCCCACTGCTGGACCTCCCTTCATTTCCGAGAGGGTTTTAGGGCAAGGAAGTGTCTACCGCGCTGCCCCAATGGGTGTTGGCGAACTTCACACGTCTTCGAAATACTTTTTTCTTATTCCTCAGACATGCAGGTTTCTTTACGATGTTTTCCTTCACCGCCGAGCACTTAAAATTGCAATTAATAATTTCATTGGTGCCGGTGGGGATCGCATCCAGGTTACATTCTGTTATATTTACAGCGAGCGTTAACCATCTATAGAGTATCATCATCGGTAGAGCTATGCTACAGCTATATTATAGTTTTAGCACGGATAGGTCAGCTGACCGGAGAAGGATCAGAGAAGCAAGAAGGCAAGTCTTAGTGCTTAAAATTAATATTATTATTTAAGTGAGACTCAAATGTTCCTGCAGACAAACTGTGTAAGCAGTTTTGTGGGAATATGTATATAAAAAACCAAACATTGTATTTTTAATAATAAAAAATAAACCAGCAAAAATAGTAGCTCAATGCTGATGTGTTCCGTATGGTGAGTGTAGAGAACCGGAGACCCCTTTTACTGGATAAGAGGCATATCATCTTAGACCTCAGGGGTAACAATGCATCTGTGTTTTGATTTTAAATTGAGGATAAATTTAAATGTCTATGGGCCACAGCATCCATTAACCATCAGGTGGGCTGTGTGCTTGCTGGTCACCTTTTTTCAAAAGAAGTGACATAATTCCCTGAAAACTGCCCAGATTAGTAGGATCCGTCAATTGACTTCATGGTCGAAGTTGGACTGATTTATTTAGACAATATGTCCTATTTCAACATACTCATATATGTGACATAGACATTTGAGTTGTCTCTGTTTGTTGTTATGTTCAGGTCACTATTCATGTCTTTAAGCATAATGCTGTGGTCTACTAGCAATTGTGCTGTAATGACTATATTGACAGCAAATGAAAGATGAGTGATGAACTCACATATTGAATTTGGTACCATATCCTTTCCAGTCCAGATGCTTGAAAATGTCATACAATGCAGAAATCAAGCATTTTGAGAGTATAATGTCACCCTCTCACACTTCTCTGCAATTGAATCGGTTTCATACTCTGGTTCTATACTTAGTAGCCATTGTAAGACTACTGTACAAACACTTCAGCTCTTCAATATACCATTAGAGGTACTGTAGCACCAAGCAACTTTAAATGGGGAAAAAGGCTTTCTCATGGCAAGAAAAAATGGCAGATTGTACTCTTCTTCTGCACAATTTACAGAAGAGTATGTACATACATACCTATGTCTATGATGCTAGTCTTTTCAGAATTCGATTGGATTGGAAGGCTGATTTTGTAGTATCTGTGCAAGATGATTTGTAATGACTTACACAAACAGCACATAGATGAAAGCTCAGAAGACAAACTAGACTGTAGTCCTATAATAACACACTGTCGCCTTTTATGAAGAACAAGACCAGCATATTTCCACAACCATTCTGAATAGTTACAAAACAGAAGGTTTTTACGCAGCTAAATGTAGCCAATGTTACAATATTGTCCAGTTAGATTATTTAATATAATGAAAAATAAATATAATGGAATGATTCTTACGATAGAATTAGAGTTAGCTTGAGATAAAGGTGTTGGTATAGGTACTCTCCGATCTGCAAATGCCCGTTGACCAAAAAGGGTAGCTCTTGAGGCCATGGTAGGTGGTGCTCCTCCCGGCATTGCCGTGGAACCTCGGCCGGGCGATAACGCCCCGCCGAATGTAGGTGTCACATGTCCAGATACTCCACCAACCAGCCCTGACCCCACTCGCCCTCCAACTCCAACTCCACCTACACCGCCACTAGCTAGGCTTCTAGGTGCTTGCTGGAAATTCAAGTTTGCCATAACCTGCAGTTAAGCAAATTTCATTTTGATTATTAAATATTTTATTTTATAGTTACAAATAACTTATAAATCGTAATATATATAAATTACGTGTCATGTTGTTTGTCCATGATTGACTCCTTAACTACTTGACCGATTTTTATCAGATTTGCACACCGTGTGCAGTTTGGTCCAACTTGAGAGATATGATCGTTTTTTTTTGCTCATGAGTGAGCCACAATTTTTTTTTCCGAATTTCAGGATTTTTAATAGGGCCTGACAAAGGTCGTCGAAAAGGTCAGAACAACATCTGCCTGGCAAGTTAGTATATATATATATATATATATATTATATATATATATATATATAAGAGATATAATTGTATTCAAAATTACCATGATATAAGATACTATTATATTCTCTTTTATTCAAATTAAATCTTGTTACAGCCCATGAAAAACAGTGTGTTTATTATTATATAATTGTTATTAAGAAGATGCTGCTGCCCATCTGTGTCCATCTGTCACTTCTTACAACACCCACATGATGTTATGAGGAAGTGAAACACCACCACTACACGGCCCCTCTATTATTCATATATAAATTTATTTCTTTTTCAAATACTTTTATCAGTTTTTAGCACTTTTATGAAACAATAAGCTAAAAGTAATTTGAAACAATAATAGAATCTAAGTATTGTTTTAACTTAAGAAATTTCTTCATTATAAATTATAAAGTAACCTTAACTTTTACTTTGTAAATTTGACACAATTTTTTCAGTTCTAAATGGGAAATTGTAGTACAAAAATGAGTTACAAGTTATTAAGCAAATCAGTAAAAAAAACATACATAGTGCTTTTATACATTTGATTAATAATTGTTCAAATAATTAAAAATATATCATTCAATATTTTATTTCATTGCTTTCTTAAAAAATCTTTTTTAAATTGAAATGAGAACTAGAAATGAGACCAACAAGTTGTGCAACCTAGGTGCCACTCAATTGTTTTGATTGCAATTTGATTGAAAAAAGTCCTATGTAAACTGAATTATCTATTCCAAAGATACCCATATACCTAAAATTTCTTTAATCAGCATCAGCAAAACAAACTGGAAATGAAACTCTTGCACCAAATGAGCGAACAGAAGTGAACATTTTGAAATTAACATAAGTAAATATTTAAATAGCAGAGCTGACTAAATGCTTGGAAGATATCAAGCAAAATTAAATATCAATGCATGTAATGTGAAATCCTTAATACAGTTTGATAACTGGTCTGGTGGCCAGAACACATAAAGCAACCTTCACAACATAGCCTTAGCCAATCTGCTCTGTTCTTAAACATAACATTTATACTACAATTTCTTTCATTGTAACATTCTCTTGTACTAGTACTACATTCTATTGTAAAAGTATTCATGTAAAATTAAACTCAATAACGTTTTATTATAAATGTTTCTATTAATTTTAGGTATATACAAGCTCTAGGTAAATGTTTAAAGTTTTAACACTAAAATATACACCTAATGTACTTCAATATGAATTGATTAGATAAATTCAAATGATTATAACTTTGGTGTATGACCTGAATAAAACGAGACATTAATTTAGAAACAACTGCTATAAATTTAAAATTTAATAAAGCACAGGACTATAGGCTTCATATTTCTCACTGAGAACGATAAAGATAACAAAAACAATGTAACTCATGACAAAACTTCTTGTTGCGATGGACAGCATATAGCATTCGTCAATAATAACAAATCAAGTAGGTATTATACGTAGATCGACATGGTTATTTATCCGTCTGTCAAACAATGGCGACTCTGGAAGATGTGCTAATTTCAGGTTTTGTATTCAAACTGGGTAAATATTTACCTAGAGTCTACTTCAGCCCTTGATCCACTATTTTCAGGAATAATATGGATGGTTCATAATCGAATATTCTCAACAGAAATATATAAATCCTCTTGAATGAAACAAACAAAAGTTTGTTGACTGTTCAATTTATAAGGCAAATTGTGTGCATCCAAAATTTTTATCACCAACTTAAAGTATTCGTAGTACTGCTTTTCATGAAACACTGCTATAAAACGTTAAAAACTTTATGCATCTTTACGTCGGTAGAACAAATTGTAAAAATTTCACTCAGATTTGTGGAACGCCACATTACCCTAAACAACTGGCGGCCATATTGCTAAAAGCGGAAACTAAAAAAATATCACCCGTACAATCTACAAGTTTCTGTCGTTAGAGTCTTTTAATACATCTGCAACTTTATATTTAATTATTTAATAATTTTTTTGATAAATACATTTTCGAAGAAGATCATCATACTTTTCGTTGCAGGTTAATAATTTTAATTGGATGTTAAATTGACTTTATCGAATGACGATGATTTCAAAATTACCCTCACAAAAATATTTGCAACTTTTGGGGGTAACCCACAAGAAACTCTTCCCTTTAATTTATTTAATTACTACGTACTCACAGACCTGATGACGAGGAGAAGTATTTCTATTTGATGCACGCTCTTTCGTTCTAATTAAAGTCTTAGCATTTTAAACATCCTATCCAAATTTTATTTTGACTGAAACAGAATGAATATGTCATATTGTACGCTACCTGAGCGAATAATATTTTTGTATAATTCAGTTAAATGCCCACATAAGAAAAGAAAACTGCGATATTTAATACAAAGACAAAAATAATTAACTGTTGTTTAAAAGTAAAGATGCCACACTATTATATTTTTTCCATATTCCTCAGCACAGTACTTTTTTATACGGTTAATTCATTGAACAATTCTGCTCAATACTTTCTTTTACCGCCAAGCACATTTTAAATCAACACTTACATTGCCATTAACAATTTCATTGGTGACGGTAAACATTAAATTCGGATTGTTCGCCTACAATAACGTACTCTATAATTAAAATTATTTGAATAACATTTTTAATAATCGATTAAAACTCAGAATGGAAACTTGAATACAATTACTAGTAATAAAATACATAATAATCATTATCATTACCGCAGCCACACAATTATTAATTTGGCTATTTACAGGAATATGCTGCTGCCCTTGTCCATCTACTGTTTTATTTCTCTCTGTCGTCTATCACGACACCCATGGAATAATATGAGGTACTGTATTCTCTTACTGCCATGTACCGTTACTACACGGCGGAATACATAATAAATGGACGAGCTTGAGGTTCGTGACAATAAAAATTGCTGATAGAATTACCTAAATTAACACTTTAATTCACTTTACACTAATTAAAGTTAAAAACACTAATAATTAATCACACTGATTCACTTTATTCCGCTCCGAAGCTTCGCTTGTCTCGCCAACTTCAATACTTCACCGATCGCATCTTGCAGCGCCTATAAATATAAATTAGCACCGAAATATCCAGAATATTCAAGTAAACACGCGTAAGGTACCGAGAGTTCGAGTTTCAACTTCTAGAAGTTTAGTTCTTCGGTTCGGGACTAGATGGCGCTGTCGGTTGAAAGATTAGTGATGTCACTTTCTGGAAAGCTCCCCTCGCTCTCGTCTCTGACACTAGATAGCGCTAGTGCCGTCGACTTAGGCGCGTAACACTGCCCCCTCCTAAGACATGCTCGTCCCGAGCATTATCGGCCCCATAATAACGCGCCAGGCGATCCACATAGACGATCTTAGGAGTCCCTCTTGCGCCTTTCTGTATCCGGTAGGTTACATCGTTGATCCTGGTCACAATCCGGTACGGGCCGTCCCATTTAGCTTGAAGCTTAGGAGATTTCCCTTTGTTGCGGACTGGATTGTGCAACCACACTAGTGAACCTTCGTCGAACCCTTTATTGTTCATTTTGCGGTCGTACCGGGTTTTCATTTTCTCAGACATTTGCTGGCCCGATTGTCTGACGTGCTCATAAATGTCATTCATTTTTTTCCGCAAGTCATTTGCATAATCGGTTATACAGCGTGGGGTATCAGGTGGTATCCCGGTGATCAGGTCTGCAGGCAGCCGTAATTCTCTTCCAAAGTTTGCGAAAGCTGGTGTCACTGCTGTACTTTCGTGAACAGAACTTCGATATGACAATAAAAACGATTATATGTACTTGTCCCAATCTCGTTGCCGATTGTCTACAACTCTTGGTAGGTACCTTTCCAATGTCTGATTAAATCGTTCTACCATTCCATCAGATTGCGGGTGATAAGAAGTCGTTCTTGTTTTATGAGTACCCATAACTCGGCAAGTTTCCTGGAATATTTGAGACTCAAAATTCCTTCTTTGATCGCTGTGAATCTCTAAAGGTACTCCAAAACGACAGAAGACTTCATGAACTAGTTTATCTGCAACTGTTGAAGCTTCTTGATTTGGAATGGCGAAGACTTCTGGCCACTTAGTGAAGTAATCCATCACAACCATGAAATACTTGTTACCACTTTTACTCTCCGGAAACGGCCCCGCCACGTCAATGGCTATTCTCTCCCCACCAACATTGTACAACTTCAATGCACCTCTACTACGAGTCTGAGGTCCCTTTACAGCCGCACAACTTGTACATTTGCGACACCAGTCCTCGACATCCTTTCGACAGGGGACCCAATAAAACCGTTCTCGGATCTTCAGTAGAGTTCGTTTAACTCCCAGATGGCCTCCGGAACAATCATTATGGTACAGCTGTAGAACATTCGGTACTTTAGTTTTAGGGACAACCATTTGCAAGTGACAGCTGTCTCCCCGAACATTTTCCCATTTACGGCACAGCACTCCAAACTGAAGCAGCAAGCTGTCCCATTGAGCCCAATAGCTTTTAGTGGTCGAACTCAACGCTGAGACGTGGCTCCACTTGGGCTTGG